ATAATTACTCATACAATGTATCTCATAAATGGTAACATACATATATAATGGTAATTTTATTTGTTACCAAAGTGGTGGGTATGCTATGTTGTCATACATGAATCAAAGATCATTTATTAGGTAAATTCATGTCGGATTGTGTGGTTTTGATTGATAGTTTGACAATTTGACTTGCCGGACAATTTACAATCTAATAAGATAACATGTATGTTTGGTGTTGACTCACAATCCGATAACACTTGACTTGCCGGACTGTACATAGTCTAATAAGAGAACATTGATCTTCAAATTTGTATATGTATACATGATCATTGAATAGAGAGTGATGAGGCCCTTTATGATTTCTGTCAGAATGCTGTGGTGCTATGGACTATGCATTCATGGGAAAGGGATGCTCGTTTGGTGAAGGAGGCCTTGAAGAAAGGCCCACAAACATACAGTGTACTTGTGGAGATTGCATGTACTAGATCGGCCGAGGAGCTATTAGGAGCTAGGAAGGCCTACCATTCCCTCTTTGATCACTCCATTGAGGAAGACGTTGCCTACCACATTGATGGCCCTGAAGGCAAGGTAAATCGAATCTTCCCACATTGAATTTTGGCATAATTATTGTTTCTTTCTCTTTTTTGATGGATAATAGTTCCTCTTTGCTAGTTGTGATTTGCGAAGGTCCAAGTCAAAATTACACAAATATTGGAGATGTATATTGCTTTGTTTTTCCAATTTGACACCATCCTCTTCAACTGTTGTAATTTAGATATACAGTTCAACTATTTCTATCATATTTACTGATCACATCTTTTACGGAGACGAGAGTTCAAAAATTTACCAAATACGCAGTGCAGTAGTGTAATGAATATGTGACATGTTATTTTTCATCTCATCAGTTTCAAAAAGTGTCTTTAATCTTTTGAAGTGTAATAAATGGCATGAAAATGTGAAAGTATTTAACTGGTTTTTTTTTTGTTTTTTTTGTTCTTCCTGTTGGCATTTGCTTTGTACAGCTCTTGGTTGCGCTTGTGAGTGCCTATAGGTATGAAGGACCAAAGGTTAAAGATGACACTGCAAAATCCGAGGCCAAAACACTTGCTCATGCCATTAAGAATGCGGATAAGAGGAATCCCATTGAAGATGATGAGGTCATTAGGATACTATCAACAAGGAGCAAGCCCCATCTCAAGGAAATATATAAACACTACCAGGAGATTTCTGGCCACAACATCGATGAGGTATGCATATGAGATACAAAAAGAAAGAGGAATTTCCCAACTTTTCCTCCCAGTTTTCTTCGCTAACTTAGATGGCAAGAAAAAATAACAACTTTGCATACTCCAATGTGATAATGTCACTTAGGTCGGAGAAAAAAGAGAATAATAATGCTAGAGAGACTACATTTTCGTACTATGTTTGAATAACAAATGATGTGGCAAGTAGCACGGCATGTAAAACTCACTTGCTACATCATGTGGTACTCAAATGTGGTCTCTCTAACATTTTCCGAGGGAAAAAAAGGTTGGATTACTGTCCAGAAATTTGAAACCAGAACTCCAAGTCATATTATTGAGCTTATAGAAATCTATAATCTTGCTTTTTGTTTAGGATCTTGATGATGCTTTGAGGTTAAAAGAGACAGTGCAATCCCTATGTACTCCTCACACATATTTCAGCCAGGTAAGGCAGAGTCACATAGATATTTTCTGTTTCGCATGCAGCCTAACATTATGCATGACATTTTCAAATTCTTGTGTCTCATCAGGTATTGGAAGTTTCATTGAGAAATGGTGTGGATAAGAACATCAAAAAGGGATTGACTAGGGTAATCGTCACCCGAGCCGACGCAGACATGAAGGAGATCAAAGAGGAATACCAGAACCTATATGGAGTTTCTTTAACTGAGAAAATTGAAGCGACAGCTAATGGGAATTTTAAGGATTTCTTACTCACTTTGGCTGCAAGAGGAGGCTAAAAAGGCGGGAGTCAAAGTTTGGGGCTTGTTGGGATTATTTGAAGGGTTTCTGTGTTGCCCAATTCGATTGTTGCTGTCTTTCATGGTTGCTTTCTTGCTAGAGCTGGTGTTGTTCTGTATTAGTATTGTGTTACCATTAAGAAAAAACTGAAATAAAATCAATCAATGAGCCATTTGAGCATTTAAATAAGCTGATTTTTTAACATTTTGTTTGTGGCATAACAATGTTATATCTGGTCTCTAGTGTACAAAATGTTGTGGTCTGGACAAGTATACAGGCGTGCATATAACAAGTCTTGTTTAGTGAAATAAGTAGGTAATTGATTGGATAAACATCTCTTAAGTTCACATTCAAAATTTTCATGTTTTTCACCTAATTTCCGTAGTTTTTCTTGACTTTTTACTGATCAATTTTTCACCGATATTCCCATTAAGATTTCCGTGTTTTGAAACCCCGATAGGTATTTCCTAACCAATTTTTTAGCAAATCCCAAATGACCTATAAAAGAAAGAAATGTAA